GCTCATAGTTGCTTAGGTTTTAAACAGTGTGAAAAAATCACTGCACACCGTTTAAACATCATAAAATGTAGTAAAAAAATGAAAAAAAGACTTGTACCGAATTCGTATTGAGCTTGGTACTTTATTCCCAGAAACATTTAACCGGAAAACAGGAAATTTTTTGCTAGATTGAGAATTAAAGAGCTTAGCAGACCAATAAAAAGAACTTGTGACCTGCATTTTTAAATTGATTTAAAACAAAAATGTGGTAGATAAGTTAAATTAATTATCACCAACACTGCGATTCTCGAAAAAGTCCAAAAAGCAGCAAAACTAAAACGCTAAACTAATCAAAAACCACACTACTTTTTCTTTTAAATGTTATGGCCCCATCGAAATAATCAATGAATTTGCCAATGTCAAGTAAAAATAACTATGTACGGTAGTTTAGTATTATTATAAAAATTATAGAAAAAAAATGGCGATTTCGCCAATGTCGTGTGAGAAACTAATCGGCTAACTAAATTGCAACAAGAACGACATTGACATCTGATCTGTCAATATATTTATTCCAAAGCCAAAAAATTATATAAAAATACGTTCCGTTTCGTGGGATTCCATTCCATTGTACGTTAAAAATCCTTAACGATCATCTGGAAATTGCAGGTTATAAAAAATGGTTTTTAATTCACAATTTTTTACATTTTCTATACTCAAGATTTTGTTTTACAAAAACCAACCTGGTTAAATTTTCCATTTCTAACTGACGTGCGGAACTTTGTGGTTTTTTTTATCAAGCAACGTTTAACTCAGTCGTGTCTCGGTCCCATGGTCTGGTAGGTATTGACTGTTTATATTATCCGATTTTTCATGTGGTGGAAATACGCCAAAACCTCCATTTTGGGTCTCACTTCACCTTAAAAAACTACTAGAGTATTCCAACCTGCTTCTCTGTACTCTCTAAAAAAAACACACATCGTATAGACGCGATACTGTATGCCGACAGCTTCACTAAAACACCCTTTCGAGCTGGGTAGTTAGCCCGAACACCCAACGTCTGATAACTGACCACGGGTCTGCTGTAAAGAGATTCTGCTCTCCACAAAAATCCAGTCTCACATATTATTTTATAGAAAAATGTTTGTAAAAGGCTTAAAAAGGCTAGGCTTAAAACTCAGTCGATCTAAAATCTTAATATTAAATTGTTTTACGCAAAAATGACGACCATATTGTTAGAAAATGTGACGTTACCAGTAAAAAATACGGTCGACAGCACGCTCAGTTGAAAAAAGCGTAAAACTGAACATGCTGTTTCCGAAACTACTAAGTCTAATAAAGCTGGGTTGCAACCAGCACACAATTAGTGAACTGCATTCCAAATGCAACTTTGTAGTTGCTACTATGTGACTACGTACGTAATGCATATTAAGGTTTTTGCAAGATTCGCGACGTGGCAAGTAACTGCAATAAGCGACGATTATATATCAATAAGGCTTAAGACACGTCGTTCAAACAACCTCATCGTTTAAATATTGTGATGAATGATTTTTGCAGCGGTACACCTATTCACACATCAAGTTATACACAACCTGTTGGTTTTTCACTGGCAGACGACACAGCCTCCATTTTGATTGCAAAACAGCAGTCGCATACAGTGTGATGGATGCACGACTGAAATGCTCTTTGGCAATTGCGATGCTGTTAGAATGCAGATCTTGTGAGTTACTCACATGGGTGTACACCCTAAATGACGTAAGTTACAATTTTCAATAATTTGGTCCAGTAACGCCGCATTTCTTTTACATAACAATGATTTTTTTTCAAATTCATTCAGTCAATTAAGTGTTTGTATAAAATGAACACTAATATAATTATATAATATTGATCTTTAGTACATACAAAATTATACATATACCTAGTAATATTAAAAATACATACAAGTTATGGCATTAGGAATCTATATTTTTTGGTTTCAATTTATGTTGAAGAATGTATAATGGGGTACGTCTGTAGGCCTATTTTCATATTTTATATACTGTATCACCGACTTATCTGTGACATCCTTACAATACTAAAGGACATTTTTTACAATTTTGTTGCAAAAAGGAATATTTACACCACAATATAGAACGTGAAATCATGAATCGAAGTATAAAATTAAGCTACTTTCATTAGTAATAACCGGGACTAGAGAACAGCATTCTTAACAATACTATGCCATAGTATAAGAAGACAAAGTTGTATAACTCCAGGTCGTCACATGCGCCATTTATTATAGAATTAAAAGTGTATAAGGCGAGGAGGTATAGCCTAGATTTAATGAGGCGAGGTGTAGGAGGGCGCCCCTCGCGTCCCGCAATTCGCGCGTTGAACATTGACGTGAACAAAATAAGAACAGGTGGAGGAAACTTGACACAGATCCAACGTTGACAAGCGCCCGATGGTGACTGACAGGGTGCTGGGCAATTTTAAAGTTTTGAGACAAATGTGAATTTAATAACTATAGGACTTCAGTTGAAAACTAAAATTTTAGCAGGATCTCTGTAGTATTTTTAGAGAAATACATCAGTATAAAAAATTATATGCAAAGTTAGATATTTTGTTCTTAAATAATTATTTTCGAGTAAAGTACAATCGTGTAACGAATTAGCACATTCTTTAGACAATATCCTTAAGTGTATTATATATTTTTTGTAAAACCGTTTTTAACAGTAAATGTCTTCTAAACCATTGGATATAGCAAAACAGTTTTTCCAGCTTCTCCTCCGGTAACTCGCCCTAAGAAAATGACCTCAAATAGTAGACGTGCCTCATTTAGAATTGTTTAGTATTTCAATTCTATTTCATAATACTCCATAATCGAGATACCATTATATAAAAGTAGGTATTGACGCGCGAAACAAGACGTAAGAGCTCATGTTTTATGGTCGCAGTGCATTAAGTAACGTATAATTATGACGGAAAAAAGTTACATAGTCGAATTTAAAATATCACGTTCTATTTTGTGAGATATCCAAAGATCATGGCCATAAAACCAAGGTTTAAAAGGCAATGGAAAGGAGGAAGGTTTGTTCTTCCAGATGTACAACGATTGCCCTTTTCAAACTGACGGAATGATTATTTGTAAGTCAAATTAGTGTAAATTAAGAACAAAAAGAGAGTCACATAATCGACATCAATACGTAACGTCTGTTTTATTAGAAAAGATCAAAAATGTAAACAAATATAATGAATTTGCACGAGCAATAAAAAAGTTACTCTATAGAGTATAAATTATAGGATTTTTTTATCAATAGAGTAAAGTGCCAATAGAATCCTGCTATGTAACAAATGGAGACAGTACCTACTTACCCTATTGGAGTTAGCCGTGATAGTACGTACGTAGGATGCTCGATCTTCAAATGAAAGAGATCAGAGAGTAATATGAACTGCACTTGATGAGGAAATTCCGGAGTCAATTCTATATTGATCCCATTAAATAAACTCTAAATTTGCGTTCTGGATTGGACGCTTCTGGTGGTGCCTCCGAAGGAATGAATTCCCGATGATGCTCCAAAACGAACTAGTTGTTCTTACACATCTTAATAGTTCAAGTGTCTTTTTAGTTCAGTAGAAAACAAGACCTGTCTGCGTTGCGGAGTCAAAGATGCAAGGCGATCTTAATAGTTCCTCTGTATTTTAGTTCAGTGGGAACAGTGCGAATGGGATAGTCAGGGATCGTTCACTGCTTTTAGTATAAGTTCGAGTGAGATGCACGCTTGAACGTTGCCAGTTTGTTCTCTAACATTTGATTTAACATTGAACGACACATTTGTAAATGTCAGGTTAATCAAATAGTGCCGATTCTATTTATTTTTAAATATTTAGTAAGTATTATTCTCTTAATGGCACATACATAATAGTAGTCCGAAGTAGTTCATTTGAATAAAAGTACTAGTTTGGAACGCTCGTTCTATGTCCGAACAAAACAAACTAGAAAATCGAACTAGTTGACGATGAACTAGATCGAATCGCTCACTTTAAAGACCGAGTGACACAAGTCTATTAGCGATTGTGTATAGTATATCTTTTTTTTAAGAAAAGTAAAGAGTCAATACATTGGGCAAAAGTGTTGCCCGCTTGTTAGCAGCTAATGATTGCAGTCGATAAATATTCTATCGACTATGGACTGATTGTTGTTCACGCTTATGGAATAGCCCAACTTGTTTCATCTCAATTGTCAATTTAAATTCGTACATACACACGCTGCATTTAGAACTATGTTTATGAAAAATACAAATAGGAGACATATTTTAAAGTTCTTCATTTTAACTTAATATAGATAATCGAATCCGGCTAAAGAATATGAATTAAAATTGATTTCTATACTAGTAGGCCAACAAAAAATAAAGCAGTTAGTAATTATTAGAACGTCGTAACATTCACAATTCAAAAACAATTTTCAGCAAGATTTTACCATCTTTCACAATCTATCGATAACACTGTCGACAACTACTATTTAAAATTTCGTGAAAACCGGCAACCTTGCAAATCGAAATAAAAAAATAAACTGGTAATCTTCATCATCAATACCATCTTAATTTTGACAACTTTACAGGATGAAGAAAAGAAATTGTTTGCGTCATTTATGTAGCATCTGGTTTATTAAATAAAAATTCGTAGTTTTTAAACATTTTCATTACACGTGTGTATGTATGTACACTACGTACGTACAAATGATTTTTTCTTCACCTGTAAAGTTGTCAAAATTGAGATAGTACCGGTTCGAAATATCATTCTACTCCGCCTTCAAAAAAGACAGACAGACATACAAAGTTGCTTCCGCTTGTGACCGACAGGGGCGCTGTACAATTGTTTATATATTATATTTATATGTTTTAGTGTCGGATGCATTAAATTGTACGCTTACGATTTTAATTTTACGTATTTGAGTCCCAATGAAATGGTTTGTTTACATTTTTGATCTCTTTTAAACGTTAAGACTCAACTCACACTGGCGCAGAGTCGAAGCGTCGCGATGCGTCGTGTTTTTCGCCTATAGCATATTCATCTCTATTTTCCCATCAATAAGGTACAAATTTGTGTTTGCAAATATGGAATCGATCCTGGGCGCCGCGAGGCGTCAGGCGCCGACCACACTGTGATCCCGGCGCACTAATGCGCGCATCGCCAGGCGGTGTAGTTGAAAAACAAGACGCTTCGACTCAGTGCCTGTGAGTTGAGCCATAGACTAGCTGTCAAAGCAGTCTTAATCTACTTAAATACAATAAAAGAAGTTAGAAGCGATATGTATGTGATACAAAGTACTTGTGTTTGTGGTGCTTTGTTGTAGCCGTATATCTCAGGGTCCAGACGTAGGCCGGAGTAGTTAATGTCGGGGATTGGCGATTCTGGAAACAAAATGTAGATAAATAAGTTATTTCTTTGTTATAATTATTAACACGAAGATCGAACAATTAAAAAAATTGCTTCGATCCGTCCGGATTCGAACCGACGTCTTCAAGCATATCGTGGCAGACGCTATACCAACCAAGCCACAGAACGAACCAGCGGACTTTTTTTTATAAGATCAAGTGACGGGACGAACAAATCGTGCGTCTGATGGTAAGCTATACGCCTATCCATAAGAGTTGCAGTGCCACTCAGAGCTTTAAATCGCAAAGATTTGAGAGGCACTGCCACTGCGCCCGTCAGCCTGAGACATAAGTTGACAAGTCCCGTGTTTTTGTTTGTCGTGTCTTTGTATTTGGTTTTTCAACGACTTTTTAACCGTAGCGCCATCTATGAAAGTATTTCGTCACCCAGTTTGATACTTTTACAGCTACCAGGCCCGGCTAGAGATGTCGCTATTCACTGTATTTCAATTTTAGAGGTACAAAGATCGAACACTTAGAAAAAATTCCTTCCATTGGGACGGATGTTTGTATTAATAACTATAACAAACTAGTGGAGTAATTTCACATAAAAAATAATTGAATTTATTTCTTTGTCCTAATTTAAATTAGTTTATATGAATGGATAATTGAATGTTGCGTCATCGTCCTTATTGCCCGGTATTTTCAAATTAAAACAATGGTAATAATGGGGTATAAACAGAGATGGGCAGTGGGTTAAAACCCAATCAACTTTCGTTACCAATACGTACCAATCGCATAAAGCTAATAACTCGATAAAAAAATTCTTAATCAAAATTAATTTAACAGATCTAGAAATAGTGTTGTTCTCTTACGAGTCTTTATTACCTCAGCTTAAATTAAAAAATTTTCCCGTACTAATACGGTTCATTTTACTTGGGGCAAGCGGCACTGGCTTTATTTCAGAATTAATTTTTTTACAAACGGAATTAAAGCTATTTGAAAAATGTATATCGTATTATACGTGTTACTATCTAGTTCAGTTGATATTCAAAAATAATTGGTATATGTAAAACCTATTGAATACAGCGGTTTTCTTGTAAAATTTCGAGGTAAGTTTGTGTTTTTGGGAATCGTGTTTTCACACCTTCTAGATCAGTGTGTATCCTCAATTTTACTATATATTTTTTTCCATAATAATTGATTCAACACTTTGACTGTTATGCGGGATCAATCAAAGTCGTTTGAGGTTGTATAGAATTTTAAAGGATGACAGAATTTTTAGATTTGTAAAATTAGTACAGGCACAAATCGCACTAAACTAAAAACTCACCTTTTAATAGCGTAAGCGATATAAATAGCGCTCAAAACAGCAACAGTACCGGCAGAGGGCGCTAACGAAGCGGCACCCCCGTAGCGTGCTTGGCCACAAGCCGGGGGACATACCGGTATTATGGTTTCTACAGAGAAGAAATAAAAAAAACATGCTGTAATCATGCTAATAAAAAAACACAAGCTTTCATGGGGCGATACCGCATAGAAAGTCTTAAAAAACAACAGTTGTTTCATAATTACTTTTTTGTATGATGGAAAGTGACGATTAGGTCGACGATGGAACATGCACCCCTAAATAATGCCTATTCACTTTCGCGTTGAAAAGGTTAAGACCATTTTAACTATTTACCTATACTATTTATTTTATTTTATAACCATTGACCTTGTTTCATTTGATACCTCATCGGCCTTTATACATCCAACTGTTGGGCACAGGTTTATTTGAATTGCTAATTTTTTAAAATTCATTCATGCATACATTAAATTTAGAAGTATGTATATTAAAAACACAAATAGGAGACATATCGCACTGCTATTACAATAGTGTTGTAACTCAAAATAAGTGAAATTCAAGATTATACCATTGCTGAACATAAAATTTGATTCTCTACAGGTCAAAAAAAAACGTCGTTATACAAAACAGTCCTTACTCAAAAATATTACATTATTGTTTCCTTTTTTATTTGTAAATATATTTAGCAAGTAGGAAATTATTTAGATGTCTGTAATAAACTTTAACTTATAACCTTTCATAAGAAGCGAGTAATTCGTTTTTCGTCGATTCTAAAAAAATACACTTTTTGAGTTAATACACTATTGTATTAACAGTGCGATATTTTTACGTTTTTCATTTGAATTTAATATACAAAACCAAATCCGCCTGTCGTTATTAAAATGTGTATGACTAAATATTTATTTTGATAATAATAGACCCTACTGTTAAAATAGAATAAAGAATACAATAACATAATTAGTGATCATTAGAACATCGTAACATTCACAATGCAGACATGTTTGGCAAACTTTTACGTACTTTCACAATCTATCGATAAAACTGTCGATTACAACTAACTACATGACTATTTAAAATTTTACGAAATCTGGGAACCCTGCGAATGTCATTTTACACCATCTTCAAAAAAAAAACATTAATAAAATGATGCTATTTTATTTTCACGTGTCGCGCATATCGGTTGAGGAACGGCTGTTCCATTCATTCGTTCCATTAGTAAACTGTGGAATTTCGAGTGGATGCTAAGAAAGCTTCGCTAGTAAGTCGAGATATTTGATTGTGTCTTTATCTGTACACCGTCTCAGTGTTTCCCGGTTTACATAGCATAAAAAAGAACAAAACTGCTCCTCAAGCATGCAAATACGGATCAACAAACTTATCTGTAACATGGCAATACATTGACTTACAAATAAATGGACGACGGGTCTAATACACATACCACGAAAAAAATGTCTCAAGTCAACCTATTTAAACGTAGTGACATGTAAAGGAATATGAAAAAGTTAAAACGTTGAATTTAAATTGTAATGTCATCGCAGTGCTGTCTAATTTTGCTTGCTTCGCTGTCAGTCGAACAAACGAAGACTAAAGCGTGAATGACGCTCTTTATACGATTTTAACGCCCTATAAGTTCGGACACTTTTTAGCGCGGACCCGCCGTCCATATAATTGTAAGTCAATGTGGCAATAAAATAGATTTGTATTTCGTATTTCTGTATTTTTTTTTATAATTGTTTATTATAATGAATTCTTCTCCATGTGAACTGGAATCATCATTTGAATCCTGTGTAACATTAATTATTCATTAATTATGAATGTGAACGCCCTCATATTCACGATTAAAACCTCTTGTTAGATAAAGTCGATTGTAATAAGAATCGAATCGGTAACGCACATCACTAATTAATTAGTACTCGAAGCTGTCAAAAGTAAACCAAATGGTTGGACGGAGAATAGTTGCAGACAGTTTTTTGGCGTCAGCGCCACCAGTGAGAAATTTATGAAAGTTTCTTCACACAGCCGTCATTACTGTTAACTGTCAGTCACATATTACAGACAAGTTATTCGATCATTTAAATCTGTTTGCTTTAAACCAGGGTTCGAAATTATTATCACGATACTTGTAGAATTAATTGGAACAAAATGCTGCCGTTAACAATTTCCCATGTGTTTGTATTCGAGACGTGTCAAATGTCAATTTCAATAAGTCATAAAACATCATTTTCTTAGACTTTTCTACATGGTTATATTTAGTTTTCTGACTGTTTGTCGTTTTTAGTCGAAAATTAAAAAGATAACTTGGATAATTATCAGATTTTTTTTATGATGTCTGGTGACGGGACGAACAAGAACAAGACGGGGGCATCCGATGGTAAGCGACACGTAAAATCTGAGGGGCACTAACACTGCGCCCGTCACTCTGAGACATAAGGTGACAATTCCGACTGAAACGCAGTAATGCTCACATTACTGCTTGGCGGCAAAAATAAGTAACGTGGCAGTACTGCCCTGGATGAACTCTTTCACAAGGAGCTCTACTGCTACTAAACACTCATGATAATTTGGAACCCTGCTTTAATAAACGGATCATTCACATTAATTTCTACACGAAATAAACCAACAAAATTGAAAGATGTTTATATAGTAAAATAACATACCGAACAATTCAACCTGGCCCTCGGCTGTGCCCAGTTTGTTCTGCGCCTTGCAAGTGAATGTGCCATACTGTCGTTTCTCAATTGTAATGACGCGTAACGTAGTGTCCGTAAACTCGTCCGCTGTCGCGAAGTGGGAGATTCTGGGGGTATTAAATAATAAATAATAATAGTACAATGTGTATCAAGCATATGAACTATTAGGTGTACTACGGACATCCCAATCTGCTAAACTGTATCGCCACACCCGTCTCATACCACTAGGTTCTGATCGGGTGGGGAGTATACGGATACAGTTTTCACCAGACAATGGTCGGAAGTACCCAGTACCCACAACCACAGAGTATCGGTCCGGATCAGTTGTCAGCAGAAGGTCCAAGCAATTAGTCGTATGAGATTCAACATCTGGTATCCTAGTGGCGCCACTGACAAGCTGGGCTAGGCTTAGCGTTAACGTAAGTTTGGCGTCTGTCTCGGTATGGGAACAACCATTCTTGATGGAGTGCATTACAGTCCCCCAGAATAACTAGTTGCGCAGCTGGGTACCTATGTTGAATCTCATCAGACGTCTCTCTCAGATATTGGAACAGCTTGGTCGTCTCCTGATCTCCAGTGTGCGATCGGTGAACACAGCAGTACACTATTTGTGTAACTCCTGTGTCTATCAGAAGCCACAAAACAGAATAACTCGGTGCCTCAAGGTTCTTGAGACGCTTGACACAGATGTCATCACGGACGGCAGCCCTTCACGGGTGGCTTTCCCGCTACTTGGACCAACTTCCTACGGTCGGCCAGCGGTGCACCGTGCTTCGGATCCTCCGTCCTTGTGCTAGCCTCCAGAACGAGTGCTCAGTGTGGCAGTACAAGTAGCTACAACTCGTCGTCAGACGCAATGCAGTTGTTCAGACCCGACCTCCTAATGGCAACTCCCGAACACGAGTCGGAACACGGTGAAAATTTGGCGACTCGACTGCGTCGTGAAGGTGGTGACTAGCCACGGCCGAAACCTACCACCAGTAGTTGTTGCTCTTTAGCACCACCCAGAGGTCACTTGCAGTGTCTCGAGGGTAAACCTACGGAAGCGAGTAACATCAGCCCCCATACCCCAACCATCATAGTTATTTACTCAAAAACACACTTTATTCTAGTTTTAATTAGGTTTTATGTATATGTCGAGAGCGCTGCATCCGTTTCGTATGCGTTCCAAATCCGAGACTATATGGATGTCGCTTGGGCACCAAGTCCGATTAGAATGCCAATATAGCTTGTATATCTAGAAATAAAATGATCCCTGTGACATTTCGGACCGTCATTTCTCGGATTCGGAACCGAGGGTCGATTCAGAACCTTACGATAACTCACTTGTCGTACGATTTCTTTTCATTTTTATTCACAACACCTAAATCGAAGGTCAGACTGTCGTATTCGAACCGAAATGACGTCACACCCGTACTCGAGCTTCTCGACCGGCAAAGGCTATAAACGTCATTCAGGACACAGTTATCGAATGAAAGTTACCGACCGTCCTATTGTTTACAAAGTAAGAATGTAATATGGAAATATCTTATTATTTTAAATAAAATAAGACTAATGCATTCCTATATTTTATGCCATTAAGACTTTAGTCTTAAAAATGTATAGAAAAGGATTTTCATTTTTCTTATAATCCATTTCACCGACTCGCGCACTTCGATTCGAGAACGATGTCCAATCGAACGATTCGATTAAAATATCGAAGAGTTCTGAATAGGGGTCCTGATACGAATCGGATGAAGTGCGCAAACGCTGTTACACATATGAAATGTCACACATAGTCAACCATG